GATTTAAGTCGTGTTCTAACTAAAAGCAATGACACGCAATAGAAGGAATATTCTCTGAATTAAAAAAGGAGTTTTTGTCCTAACCAACTGCTGAAATGTATATATTAGAAGTGGCTTCTGTTTCCCACAACTGAACACCAGAAAACTGACACAGATCAGCTCAGATACAGCCAAACCTGCCAACACTCCCGTTTTTCCCAGGAGTCTCCCGCATTTCAGACCCATCTAATGTTTTGTCCTGCCTCCCGGAAAACTCCTGGAATTTTAATTTGTTAAATGTTGCCCTTTTGCTTTCCGCCTCTCGCAATCCCATGCATGGGTGGATTTAATCAATAGAAGTAAGCAGCCACATGGGGCCCCAGAAAACCTGGGGGCCTCCAATAAATACCTAGAAGTATAAATCACACACGTAACGTCATTTTCATGATCATATTTTGTATGGTAAGGGTCTAACAAATACAATTTTAACCTAATTTTAACATTTATGCACACTTGTCCTACACCCCAATTATAGAGCAGTCTAGCAGGCAAATTAGGTAAAGATTTAGCTCTAAAAACTGTATTATTTTCTAGTTATTCATTTTGTTGTTGTGAATTCATTTTAAGAAAACAGCATAAGTAAATAAAAAAATGAATTAAACTGCATTTTAGGACTGTTCGGCCTCATGGCTGGAATTGCTTAGTGCCTCCAAATCACTCAATCTGCATGCTCCTGATCCCAAGTTTACATATCTCACAGTTTGCCATGGCAATGTTGTCATCATCAAGTTAATAATACCTCCAGACCGCAGACATACTCGCGCTTTCCGCTTCAAGCTGCTTCTGTGCTGTTCTGCGCTGGCATTTAACCCAAAGCGTTTCTGCAACACAGCGATGTCATGCTGCACGCGCTGCTGTTTCTGTGGGAAGTCAAGGAAGAGCTCTAACTCTGTGCCACTGTAGAACTATAGATGTAAAAAATAAGGAGTATCTATCTATCTATCTATCTATCTATCTATCTATCTATCTATCTATCTATCTATATACACACACACACACACACACACACACACACACACACACACACACACACACACACACACACACACACACACACACACACGTACAGTTGAGGTCAGAATTATTTGCCCCCTTTGAATTTTTAAATATTCAAAGGGAATATCTTATTTAAATATTTCCCAGATGATGTTGAACAGATTGAGGAAATGTTCACAGTGTGTCTGATAATGTTTGTTCTTCTGATTAGTTTTATTTGGGCTAGAATAAAAGCAGTTTTTAATTGTTTAAACAGCATTTTAAGCTCAATATTATTCGCTCTTTAATCTATATTTGTTTCTGATAGTCTCCAGAACAAACCATCATTATACAATAACTTGCCTAATTACCCTAACCTGCCTAGTTACCCTAATTACCCTAGTGAAGCCTTTACATGTCACTTTCAGCTGTATAGAAGTGTCTTGAAGAATATCTAGTCTAATATTATTAACTGTCATCATGATGAAGAGGAAATAAATCAGTGATTAGAGATGAGTTATGAACACTATTATGATTAGAGATGTGCTGGAGTAATCTGCTCTTCGTTAAAGAGAAATTGAGAAACAAAATAAACAAGCTTTTTCTCTGAAACTTTATTTACGTAAGAGGCAAAATGCAAATCGAAAATAACTATTAGAGGAGTAATGTCTGGAAAAGCAGAGTAAAAGCAAGAAGATTTGAGTCTCAAAAAACACCAAATCATTGTACATTTGAGTGATATTGCTTTACATATTTAAATATTTAGTTGTAGAACTCAGTAATAATAATAAATACATGTGTCCTTCAGGCAGACATGCGATGGGTTTGCTAGTATGGTATTGCACACGTTGTTGGCCAGCGTTCATCTGCTAGCGTCACCACTGTAGTGTTCAGGAGAGCACGCTCCATTGAAGAATGCATAGAACATACACAACAACTCATATGAAGAGAACAGACAAACAAACAAACAAACAAACAAACAAATAATATAGAGAGATATATCAAAAGCTAAATACAGTACAGGTGATGTGGCCACAGTAACGCACAGCGGCATCATGGGACACCGCCAGCCTTCATTAAACAGCCGCTGAGTAACAGAAGACCAGCAACTCAAGAGTGGGTTAATAACAGGAGCCAATCAGACAGCAGGAGGTCAGGTCAGGTCTACAGGAGATGAGCAGGAGGACGTCAATAACAGAGTGGAATAATGGACAATAACACACTGTATATAATGCTGCTCTTAGACTTCTTTCACCTCTAAATACTGAAATCAAGAAGCATTTACTGGACAAGCACAAAATATAGTCCTGTTTACAGAAATAATGAGTCAAACTGACGTGCTTTTACCTTAAAAGAAGACCTATTCTGCTGTGAATGTGTCTCTGCGGTCTCTCGTGTGTGTGTGTGTGTGTGTGTGTGTTTGAGCTGAGAACAGCACACAGATGATGTTCTCCAGCTCTCTGAAACTGACCCTTTCAGGCTTTGATCCTAATTGTGGTGTTTTTGTGACTGTCGCTTTAAATGCAAATGAGATTGTGCTCTTTTAGAAAGAGGGTGGAGCTACAGATGTCTGTCAGTCTATGTCGCTGTTTATCTAAAACTCCACATCTATAATCCTCTTAGTCTATGCTGACATGATCTTCAGCAGCTCAAACACTCTAATGGCTGATGGACAGACGGCTGCTTCTCACTCAGGCCTGCTGATTGTGCTAATGAGATGGAGAGATGGCCACTAGTGGGCGGGGCTTTCCCCTCTGATGACACGTACTCAGGGAGAATGTCAATCACAGTGTGTCATTCATCAAGTCTGATTATAATAAACACAGTTCACTCATGTTGAGCATCAGAGGCTGCTGGAGATCTTCACACACCGCTGGGGTTAAACCCTGCATACAAGTCATTTCTGCATAACAGGTGCACTATAAAACTGATAATGATCTGCCACTGAGGTTAGCTAAATAACCTTGTTTTTGGTTTGAAATTAATTATATCACTTCATCTGATTATTTTGCTCGTTGCTGAAAGTCGCTTAATTTTGCCTTATTTCTGAAAGCAAGACTAAGGGCTCTATTTTACGATCTAGACGCAAAGTCTAAAGCGCAGGGTGCAAAAGCATTAATAGTGTGTCTGAATCCACTTCTGCTATGTTAAGGATGGATAAAGAGCCTCTGCACCCCAGAGCATGCTCTAACAGGGCTGTGCTGATCCTCTTCATGAGTTCTGAGTGTGTTTTGAGCAGAACCTGCGTTAAACCAATCAGAGTCTCGTCTCTCATTCCCTTTAAGAGTCAGGTAAACTGAACGCTTCACCAGCGAAAACACAGATAAACAGAGCACCTGCAGCGCGAGGATAAAGAACCAGCCTCCTCCATTCAGCCTCTGTACTTTACTCCTTTACTTTACTCCTTTACTTTGGTGGAGTGAGGAAACGGTGCAAACTCTCTCCACTGAACACATCCATCAGCCCACATATTTAATCTCCTTTGTTAAACACAAAGATTTGCATCAAAACTGTTTCTAAATTCAGCTCTAATCTCCAGCAGAGGAATAAATGAGCAATAATAATGAAGTGTGCTCAGAAAACTGAGTTATATCCAAACACACGTCCTGTTCTTATCCACATATGCTGATGCAGACGTCTCCAAAACCCCACAGCTGGACACATCTACACTTGTGTTTATTATAAATCTGCAGATAATCAATAATACTGATCATAATAATCACATTATACAGATGCAGATGCTCATCAATAAGCTGAAGAAGCCCCCCGAGGTGAAGAAGGCCTGGAGGCAGTGTGTTTATATTGATGGAGAAAATCATTTTGTGTTGCTGAGTGTGTGTTGCTGATCATCCTGTGTGTGTTCAGCAGTGTGTGAGTGTTTAAGGCCTGTTTCACACCGCAAGCTTAAGCAGCGTGTGTTTTTTTGGCATCCATGTTAACAGATTAGAGCTTTCATACCGCACGCAGCAGCAGTGCGTCAGAGCGAGGCGTGAGCTTTGGTGAAGCAGCAGTGCAGCGATGGTTTCAGCGTTGGGTCTATTTTTGCTGCTCAATTAAATTTAATTTTTGCTGCTTCAATTGAATTAAAGTGACAGTGCATTGACAATGACCAAAACACATTGAATGGTGTCACTATTTAAACAACGAGGAGCAAAACGGGAGAATTACAGTCGCGCTGATCTGAAAATAGCAAAAAACCACACCAAACACGTCTTGCGCATTATCGCGCCGGGTGTGTGGTAGAGCCCGATGCTTTTTACTTGTCTAGAAACTGCTTCTTGATTCAGTGTAGTTCTGTTGACTGAAGACTACAAGACTGCATCTGTTTAACATAAATACAGTAAAAATGCTGAAATATTATTCTGAATAACCTGCACTATTGTCAGTGAATACATGGTAAGCATTAATGTAAACTTCAGCATCATTACTTCAGTGTCACGTGTGAAATATTGATTACCTCTGACTGCTGTAGCTGTGCAACAACTCGAATCATTCAGTGGAGTGATATGGAGCTGTAATGCGCTCTAAACCTGCCGGAACTACTTTAGCTGTGCATTTATCTGACAATAACCAAACACCTGAGAGTGACCATCAGCCAATCAGAATCAAGCGTTCAGCAGAGCGTTATAATAGCTGTTTTCTTATAAGATACTGTTTACATTTAAAATGTAAGTCAGAAAGCCGTATATGAGCACTTGATGATCATCAAACATGTCTGATTATTATGATCAGTGTTGAAAACAGTCGCGCTGCTTCACATTTTAGTGGAAACTGATTTATTTAGTTTTTCAGGATTCACAGATGAAGAGGAAGCGCTAAAGAACTGCATTTAATTTAGATTAAACCTTCTGTAGTGCCTTTATTGTGCACTTAATTTCATTTTCAAACTATTTAAGGCATATCTGATAAATACAAGTGTTTATTTAATTAGAACATTGAATAAAAAATCTAACTACAGTACTGATGTGAATAGAAAACACAAATAATTTAATCAGAATTGTTTTATTATCAAAGAAATTGATAATAATCAGAAATATGGCCACTCTCAGGTGTTTGGTTATTGTCAGATAAAGGCACAGCTAAAGTAGTTCCGGCAGGTTTAGAGTGCATTACAGCTCCATATCACTCCGCTGAATGATTATTACACAGCTACAACAGTCGGACATCACAGCAGAACACAACAGGAGGAGGAGGAGATGTGGAGGATGTGTGTTTTATTCCTTACACACTATTACACTGTTTTCAGCTTATTTTAATTGTAAATATAAAGAGACTCGAGAATATTGTCGATTATTCCACTGTTCTGTGAAGCGTCTGAGACTCGACTGAAAGCTCTGCGTCCCTCAAACACTGAGACAGAGAGAAGAACACCAGACTAATGAAGACGAGACACTGCTCACAACTCACTCTGTCTGTCTGTGTGTGTGTGAATTGTAAGATATATATACACACACACACACACATGAATGTGTATGTGTGTGTATTACAGTCCACACACACTCACAGACGCACACAGACAGATGCAAAAGTGAGTGTGTGTGGACCATGAGGC